CAGTGTTCTTTTTAAATTCCTTAGAAATAATCTTTACTTTTTAATTTGTTGGATTTGGAGGGAAGATACTGAAGTTTAGTATTAAACAAGGGAGCTCCAAAATCAGAGGAACTATTCTGTTATAGCTTTATTACTTATTATCTAAGATCAATACAGTTGATAAGTTGAGTATGGCTTCAGTCTCTGTGACACTGCACTTGCTGGATTCACCCCTGAAATAAATGCTCAAGGATTCTTCCTGACTTGCTGGAAAAACTGGATGGAAAAGGCACCCAGTGCAAATGAGAATGCAGTTCTCACGGTGTGAGTTAGGCATTATTTCTTCTCTCTTCAGTTTGTGGTACTCAGAAGCAAACAAAAAGGGAAAAAAATGTAAGATGAGGGAAAGTCTTAACCGATTTACAGTATGAAATAATGTAATTAGATCTTATTACTAATTTTTTAGCATTGTTATTCATAGCAAATTATTTAAGGACTAATGATAATCAATACCCTATTACTGAATTTTAAAAATTATAAAAATTTAAGAAATAAACTATTTTAGAAAAATTTGTTAATATTCCAGCCTGTCTTAAATTTTTGTTGACTACCATCATTCAATAACAAATATTTCTTGAACCTCTACTTGATGCACCATGAATTTGCTTTGAGAATGACAAAAATAATTGAAGAGTTGCCAGGAAATTTTCTGAAATTTGTTAGGGGAGTTTTAAAAGTGACCCTTTTGTGGGAGCTGAGAAGGCAAGTGGTAGAACACTTGCCTAGCATCTGGAAGTCTCTGGGTTAATCCCCTTCCTTCCAGAAACAAAACCAAAACAAACTATATAAAACAAAACAAACCATGTTTTGTCTGTAGGGGAACAGTATGTTGTAGTGATAGGATACATACAAAGTTTAATTGAGAAAATACAGTATTGACTGATTAAGAGCCCAGCTTAGAATCAGACAGACCTGGTTTTAAATTCTGTCTCTGCCACCTCCTGGCTTAAGTTAGCTTCCCTAACCTTTAATTTCTTTACCTGTAAAATGTGGATACTAATATCACCTATTGTGTAGGATTTTATGAGATTTAAATGACATATCAAATGCTTGACTAGTACTATGCACATTGCAGGTGCTTATTATATGGTAATTATTTGCATTTTTATAGAATGTGTTAGAAGGTATTTTTGTTTCTTAGTACTGTGAGTTGTGAATGTCACAAATCATATTACGGAATCATCCCTTTTCAGTTGAATGTGTTGGTTGACTCCTCTTGCCCAGCTCTCTCCCCTGACAGATGAAGAAACAACCAAAAGGGAAGTTATTCCTAAAAATGAGAAGTAGAATTCAGCTATGCTCCATCCCCTGTGACAGACACTTATATACATGTTGGAGGCTTTTGTTTAGTTGATTAAAACATACCTAGTATTTTAAAATTTAATCGTTGAAGTCAGTTACAAAAAGTACACTTTTTTTTTACTACATTATTATTACAGTCAGCATTATCTGATTTATATTTTAGTTCCAGTATCTCTCCAGCCTTATTTTGTACCACTTCCCCTCTCATACAGAGTGTTCCAACCTGACTAGCCTCTTCTTAGTTCCCAACACTCCAGGCTTCTTCCCATATGGAGGTCTTACCCAGCTCTGGAAACCTCTTTTCTTGTGTCATCGTTCATCATCGTCTGGCATCACTGTGGTTCACCCAAAGACCTCTTTGCACAACCTTTCTCCCACTTCAAGCATTCTATTTTAGTTACCCTGTTTTACTTCCTTTATTACACATCACTGTCTTAACAAAGTTTTAATTTCAGTAATTTTTTTTGTACCAGGAATCAAATCCAGAGCCTCACATATGCAAAACCACATGCTCTATCACTGGATTTTACTCCCACCTAATTTTAATATCTAAACAAACTTGCTAAACATTTGTCTTCTGTACTAAAATGTAAACTCCATGAACAGTGGAATATTTGATTTATTTACCTTTGTATTCACAACTCTTAGAAAATGTTTGGCACATAAATATTTGCAAATGTATAAGTGCATGAATCAGTGGTGTGTATTTACTACACTAATACTGTTATATCAGAGAACAGCGCTTGTTCATTTTTAGATTAGCAAATAGAATGTAGTTCTTTTAAAAAAATTTTTTACACAAAAAAGAGTAAATGTCAGAGTTTGAGAGAAAATTTAGTTGCAGCTTCAACAATGTATTTGCCCAGCATAAAGACTGCTTGAATACCAATATTCTTGTAATGCACAAGAATTAACTATTTGTTTTATAAAGTGGTCTTAATTCTTACAAATAAAATACTTCTTAATTCTTGTTTTTTTAATTCTTTTTAGATTTTGATGGACTTTTATTTTATTCATTTTTTTTAAAATTAATATTCGATGCTCAGAATTGAACCCAGTGCCTCACACATGCTAGGCAAGTGTTCTACCACTGAGCCCAAGCCCCAGCCCACTTCTTATTTCTTAAGAGCAAAATATGATACACATCAATAGACTATGAATAATAGGAATATTTATAATCAACTCCATTAAAAAGACACATATTCATTTTTGCATAGAGGTAGAACTCAAGCATGTGTCATCTTTAGGCTTTTCAGTTTTACCTACAGTTTGTTAAAGAATATGAGTCTTATTTAGTGGATGAGAGGTTAACTCAACCACACAGCACATATCAAAATAGAAAAAAAAAATTACTAAGCAATTTTTTTTCTTCTTCTCCTTCTTCCTCTTTCTTCTTCCTTCTTCTTTCTTCTTCTTCTTCTTTTTTTTTTAAACATTCCTGGGATTAAACCTAGGGGCATTTAATCAGTGAGCCACATCTCCAGCCATTTTTATTTTATATTTTGAGACAGGGTCTCACTAACTTACTTAGGTCCTCTCTAAGTTGCTGAGGCTGGCTTTGAACTTGAAATCCTTTTTGCCTTTGCCTTCCGAGCAGCTGGGATTACAGATGTGGACCACCGTGCCCTGCTCATAGAGTAGTTCTTGAAAAATACATTTATTTGTTTTTTGAGATTAGTGAAAAATGCTCCTTTGTTAACTTAATTGAATAGACTGGATTCCTGGACAAAAGGAATTGTTTTATTTAGTGTTTTCAACTTAATTCGAAGGAGTTTCTAGGAACCATAGTAGTACCTGTTATAAAGACATAGGAAATGGTCTCTATTAAAGGATATAATGTTATTTTCATATCTTTTTATTAAGATCTTTGGGAGAATTTTTTAATATTATGATATGACAAATATAGATACTTTCTTAAATACATTTTTTCTTATCTTTGTGAACAGTGCAATTAAATTTTTTCTCTTGTTTATTGGAGCCAAAACTCATGACCAAAACATGAAAAACATAGAGGTCTTTTTGGTCTTTTATTTTATTTTTTTAATATTTATTTTTTAGTTATAGGTGGACACAATATCTTTATTTTATTTTATGTAGTGCTGAGGATAGAACCCAGTGCATCACGCATGGGAGGTGAGTGCTCTACCTCTGAGCCATAACCCCAGCCCTGGTCTTTTATTTTTATGTAGTCTTTTTTCCCCAGTCCATGTCTCTAGCCTCAGGGTTGGGTTTTTTTGTTTTGTTTTGTTTTGCATATTAGTTTTATTTTCTTTCTTCCTTTCTTCATATGTTCCCATGTTATCCTCCAGTGCTACTTGAATATTGTCTGTAACTAGGTTGTGGGGGCAGCCAAAGTAGAAACACATAATATCTAGGGAACATTCCTACAAAAGAAAAGGAGGTAGTTTGAGAAGGAATATGAACATGAATTAATTGGGTTTCTTGGCTTTAGTGTCATTTGGACAGTAATAAGAATACAAAAAGAGCATTGTAGTGGTGAGGTGTTTAATGGCTCTAGAACGAAATTCCTTTCAGTTGTGAAAAACACTTTAAAAATAATATTTTATGGTACTTCTTGATATATAGCCATTAAAATACCATCTCCTTTCCTATGATGGCCCATCCAGGTTTTATTTTCTTATTCTCTTTGCTGAACCAGTTCCCACTTTATCTTTAAGAATTGTTTATTCTAAAGGTCATTTGTCTTAAGTTTTTGTGAAAACAATTTTAAAAGTCTTCTATTTGTTTCCTTTATTCCTCTCTTTTTCACAATAGTCTTATCTTGGAAATTGTTGTATTTAGAATTTATCAATTCTGAGATACACAGTGAAGTTAGTAAATTCTGTATTCAGCCCAGGACTTAGCAGTAGATCATTCTACACTTTTTCCTTCACACTGTGTCTGATTACCATTGACGAACCTTGAACCTTATTCCTTTCTGTAAGTTCTCAATTTAGGTTTCCTCAGACAAGGGTTGTATTTTCTAAAGTTTGTCATTGAGATTGATTCAGATTTTGTAGATAATGTCTTTTTTTCCTCATTAGTGTTTCAAATAGTTCATAAAATACAAATCTACAGTCTGTATACACAAAAAGCAAACAAAGTATAAGAATTACATTATGATGACCTTTAAAATATGCGATGGATAGCAGAAAAATTCACTTTAAAAAATTTCTAACTTTTGCTACAGTAGAGAGGTAGTCAGTAATTATTTCTTTATGATTTCAAGGGCAATGTTTTCATTTGTCTCTGTAGCAAGAAAAATATATTTTTATAGTTTTTAGGGTAATATCAGGCAAATTTTAGCTTTTTTTTTTAACTCCCCTAGATGTATAGATGATGGCTTTTAGATTTCATTTATTTAATCACATATTTTATTTATTTAATCACATATTAAATAAATAAATACAGGTCCACTGTCTTTTCTTCTCATAATCATATATAATTTATTTAATCATATTCAACAAATTATTTAATACATATGAGAAAATGTGTCTAGATGTGATCTATTAAAGAGGTGTGTTTTAAACATAATCAGACCCAAAGTTATTGTGTAACTATACTATGTGACTTGATCTTCAAGTTATGCCACACTTTGAAATTCACAAACATACACAAAAAGATAATAAGACTTCATTAAAATTGTCCTTTCTCCATAGGTTTTTGGAAATGCTCCGCCAAATACAATGACAGAAAAGTTTTCTGATCTTCTGCAGTTCACAACCCAGGTCTCACGACTAATGGTGACAGAAATTCGAAGGAGAGCATCAAACAAATCCACAGGTATTACAGAAGCCAGAAAAACCAGATTTATTTGAATAAACAGGCAATTCTCTTCTTTTTTTAGTTTTTATTGGTGCAATTCTTTAAAGTGCTTCTACGGTTAAATAGAAAGTAGCCTGTTTTCTAAGCACATGGATTTTGCTTAGCATTGCCCCTACCTATTCTGTGACATTCTTCTGTTGGTTTCAAGGTCTACTCTAAAATAGAGTATTTCTACTTGAAGCTGCTCTTCTTGGACCACTACTACCTCCACTACAACCCTTTTAAACCACTGTCTTTCCTTCTCATAAAATCCAAAATCCTTAACAGTGCTCCAAGCAAATCTGTGATTTTTGTTTTGCCGTGTGTTTTTTGGCATTTACTTTTTTTAAAAAAAATTTCTTGTTCTTTTTCTGTATTTCAACCAGACTGAGCTGAGTATAATCCCTAAACATGTCTGTAATTTTCTTTTGGTCCTTATAATGCTCATAAAGAAGTGTGCTGGGGGGTCTACTCAACACAGCTGAGTTTGCATTTGGGTGGAGTGATACCTCTGCCCTCTTCTCCATCCCCTGTTGCTCTCATCCCCAGGAGAATAATATGAGAGCCATTCAGTCAGTGAGGAAACACATGAATTGCTAAGCTGGCTGTTTGCATACTACATTGGTTTACTTGTTAAACATGTAAAGGAGCTGTTTGAAAATGCTAGCTATCTAGTCCCAGAAGGCCACTGAGTGGGAGCTACCTCTGTCATGGGAAGTTGAGCTTGGGTATGGCCCCCACTGTGGGGAGATGTTGAGTGTCTTAGCTAGTTCCTTCTCCAGGCAGCCCAGCTGAGTTCTCAAGGATTTTGGATAAACTTCAACTGTATTATGTCAATCCCTTGTTCAGTGGGAGTCAGATTCTATGTTGGATGTGATCTTATCTCAGAACCTAAAATGTAATTTCTCTATTATATTCTGGATTTCTGAGTTTTTCTGAAGCTATCTAGATTCTCTATTTTT